ACAAGGTCTCAAAGTGGTATTTGTACACTCATTTTCGTAGCAGCATTATTCACACAAAAAAGGCAGAAGAAACCCAAATGTCACAGATGAATGGATAAAGAAAATGCAGAATACACAGACAATGGAATTCAGCCTTAAAAAGAAAGGAGATTCTGACTCATGCTACAACATAGATGAACCCTTAGGACATTATGCCAAGTGAAATAAACCAGTCACATAAAGACAAATACTGCACGATTCCACTTACATGAGGTATCTAGAGCAGTCAAATTTATAGAAACAAAAGAAAATGGTAGTTGCCCGGGCTGGGAGGGGCAGGGAATGGGGAGTTGTTTAATGGGTAGAGTTTTATTTTTGCAAGTCCAAGAAGTTCTGGAAATTAACTACACAACAGTTGTGAATATATTTCATCTTTAGGAAATGAGACTTCCAATGTAAACATTTTGAAATGAGAATATTGAAGATATAGATCAGAAGGAATACTGAATTTTCACGTATTTACTGAATTCCTTTCAAAATGCTCACCATCACACAATCTGCGAACTGACATGGAATCTGGCATTTTTGTTGGGAACTCATAATGGATCAGTGCTTAGAGCTAAGGTTTTAAAAGTGTAGCCGGGTGGAACTAGAGCTCAGTGTTCGCCACACGAGGCCTCCATCCCGGCGACGGTGTGCTTATCTGTTCGCCAAACCAGCTCCCTTCCCTCCCGGACACCCAGCAAGGCTACATTTCCAAGCTTCCTTTGTGTTAGGTGCGGCAACAAATATGTTCCGGTCAACGCCTTATGGGTACAAATGGCATTCCATCTCCCGGCCTCAGCCGATAACCCTCCAACATGCAACCCTCCATGCTCTGAGGAAGGAGAGAGAGAAGGGCAGAGCCACAAAGAAGAGGAAACCTGGGTGAGAACCCCTGGGGACAGCTGTCAGGCTAGGAACACAGGTCAGATCATTACCTCAGCACGAAGCTTTTACTGGGGCAAGCCCCTAAAATGCTGCACTTTTGAAACAATTAGTTTACCCAGACTCAACATAAACAAAACAAAACAAAAAAACCAAAAAACTAAGCAGCAAAAATTGTTAATCACAATTGACCACTCAATAAATGCTTTTTTTTTTCTTCTCAGTTTTACAAAGGAATGGATATTGATAACAAAACAAACACCCTGTTTAGGACTGGAGTTCACTATTTCACATGAAATGTCTTCCTAGTATAATCTTCAACCTGCGCTGGTACAGACGACGCCTGGCTGTGCCAGCAACCTTACCTTGCATACGTTTTCTCACCTGGGCACTCTAAATATAAGCAAACCTTCACTAAAATATTGTATGTCAAGACAGAGTGAATGCATTACAAAACCGAAGATGTGATTAGCTGGATTCTTCACGTTGTTGGAACAACCCAGTTAGAAATGTATCTGAAGAACGTTCTGAAAACATTTTGAATATTTTAAAAATACTTGGACTATTTAAGAAACGTCTTCATTGGTACCTTCTCAAACCAGATGGCAGCGGCAGATAATGGATTAAACACAGATGCAAAACACACACACACACACTCACTCTCTCTCTCTCTCTCTCTCTCTCCACCCCCCACGCACACACACACCCCCCTACCATTTTGTAAACATGACACAATTAGAAAGATAGTACATGTTTCAAACAGCAGGAAGCAAAAGTTAACAAAAAATCTAATGAGATTTTGGCCAGGAATTAATTCTAAGTATCCAGCTCTGTAAGTGAAGGTGGGGGTCCATCACTGATACATAAATGGGGTTTTCTTAATACTATGGTGCTGTCAACTCACACTGAGCATTCAGCTCTGAGCCGCTGGCACCCCCTGTGAAGGGAAGCTGAAAAAACCTATGACCAAAGGCTGCCCGAGGCTTCCCATGTACAGGACTGAGTACTGCAAGGAAGGTGGAAAAGACAGCACTCATAGCACACAGGGACTAAGTGAATATCTGCCCTATGAGTTGCGTTTATCAATCGATGCCTCCAGTATGGCAATATTAGCACTGGCTAGGAGCTGTAATGACCAATGTAAGATATGGTTCTACATTGGAGGCCTATAGATAGATTGGGAAGACTCAAGATAGTTAAAAAAAAAAAAAAAATCTCATTGATAGCAATCTCATCTGTGTCTAAATCCAAGGACTATGTAGTCAGCGATTTTTAGTATTGACAGATTATAAACAGTTACCAATTTCTCCTTGAAGGATCTGCTCCATTTATTTGATTTATGACTTATGCTACAGTGAAAAAGAGTGAGTTGATCCATCTGACAGTATGAATCTTGGGGAAATTATGGCAAAGTTGATGAAAGCGATGGAATGACCAAGTTTCGGAAACATTACCCCGAGTTGTTAAGAATTAAATTCTCTTAGATAAGAGCACTGGAGTGAATACTACAAAAATGAAATGATTCTGGGAATCTGAAGAGAAAAACAATTAACATCTGTCTTAAATTTTGGATTGCTGCTGTATGAATCACTTCCCTTAATACTTATTCCTGTATTAAGTGATTTCAATTAATTTTTTTACTTCCTCTTTTTTTATAATCCCAACCACCTTCAGTTGGGCATATTCTGAATTTGGTGCTTGAAACACAAAGGGCTAGCTGTTTTAACACTGTGATTTCTCAATAATGAGTACAGTCTAAACCTCAGCATCTATATATAAGGTACCATCTGTCTATGAGATTATATCTATTTATATAAATGTATTGAACATAGATCTAGAGGCACATTAAGTTACATGTAGTTACATGTGCAAAATATGCCGAGATTTAGAAATTAGTTGCTGCCTATTAATGAGCTGAACTACAAATACATACTTATGCACGGATATAAATCCAGTCACAAAAATACTCATACACAAACTTAATTTCTAATTACCTAAAAAAAGGTGAGCGTGTATCGCTAGCATATAATAAATATCAAGTTATGTGTATAATGTGTATATGTTATACATATTATTATATAGCATATAACGACATGACTAAAAAGCTTTCTTGGAATAAAAGAATAAATCATGCGTTTCCTTAATTAAAACTCAAACACAATAACTGGGACGAGAACAAAGTTTGGTACAACTATAGATAATAAACATTGTGACAAGCATGAGTGTCTGTCTTCAGGGAAACAGTGAAATGTGGTGCCGGTGGCCTCGGCATCAGGAAACACAGTACTGGTCACATATAATGGCACGTTAAGAGTCAGGAATTTTTTTTTAGACCTCAGTTGCCTAAGTTACTAAATGAAGAAAATGAATGAGCCAACCTCTAAGAAAACTGAAATGTCTCTTAACAGTTTATGATTCTATGAAAAATAGAGAAACCTCAACCAGCAACAAACCATAAATCATAAATGACAAAGGTGGGGGGATGCAGGCAATGTGCTATTCGCTTCCTACACACCAACACCAAATGTTAATTCAGTCAAATACTAAGAATGTAAGGCATACAATCACCACTCATCATGGTCTATGCTTTGAGTATCAAAACACTCTGAACATTTTTAACAGAATCTTCACTTTATTCCAAGTATTTCAGTTTTTTCCCAGGCTTCTACCACCCCATCCCTCCCTCAGCCCAGGCTTCTCTTCCTTCTGTTACCTATGGGAAGTTAGATTTAAAATAATAAATGCTTACTTAATGGTGAACGTTTTCAGGAAGGGAAATTCATCATTTCCTGTGAAGACGTTGAAAAAAGCAGAGAAATTCTTTACCTATATGCAGCACCGACCTATGGGTCACAGAAACAGGTTAAACATTGGAATGACCTTTTGCGAAGTAACAGAGCAAAATCAAAATACCAATAAAAAAAATTATTCACTCCATTTCTTATTAGTATACCTCTGTCATTTCTAAACACCATCCTGCACATATACATCACACTAGGAGACCCTGATCTGGGTGATGGTTCAATATATAGGCGACATATCTAACCATTCGGTTGCCTTGCTTCCCCAACCAAACAGAAATGTCCCTAAAACTGACACCTGACGAAAGTCTTAATAGAACCACCAGTTTGAGTCTTGCAAAATAATTTATGTCCACTGCAATAATCCAATGAAAAGAACACTTACAGTCTAATGGGTGATCTTGTGATGTCTGAGAACTACTTTGCGTAAATAAGCAGCAAATTTCTCAGATTTTGAGGTTTATCGAGGTAGGCTTGACTCTTTTAGGCTTTCTTGAATGACTTTTGAATTTGACTGGATTTAAACGTTTGGACGGCTGTCAAAACAGAGCTTAGCTGTGCCAGTCTTTTCAGGCACCTTCGAGGCTATCAGAGGAATGACATGCTCCAAAGTGTCAGGGCAGCCCCAACCCAACTTTCAAAAGAGTCCCAGGAATGGACCCCAGTAAGACTGGGGACTGGAGATGGGTGAGGACTAAGTGCACTGATGACCAATGACGACTTTTGGATCAGACCTGTTTTTACCCTTGGAATGGAATTTAAAAATCAATACCTTAGCATTAACCTATGGAACTTGCTCAATCTTTAAAAAGAAAATACCAGCTGACAGAAGAGCCAATATGAAGAATATGGAAATAAGTGAATGTAAACCCTATATGGTAGCTCTTCATTTACATTCAAGAATTAACATAAGTGCTGGAAAAAAGAAAAGACTGAGTAAGAAAATTAAACCCAAATATAAACCACTGAAAAGCCACAAAAGTGGCAAAAAATAGTATTATTAGGATCAAAGTGATATGGCAGAAGTAATGAAATTAGGAAAGAGCTTTATAGGCATTTCCATTTCAAAAAACATTCTGGGAGGTCTTTTTGAAAACCTGTACCATTTAAAACTATATTTATAAAATACATCAATCCAAGAGCCCTTAGATTTATATGCCATAATCAGTGGAGCTAATTATGTAAAACTCTGATAACTGCCTTATGTATATGCCTCATTAAAATATCTCAAAGTATATAAACATCGTTAAAATAAAACTAAATGTTTCTATTGCAAAACATAAAAATATAAGATTGACACAATGACAAACACCTATTTATTGTATTTAAATACAAGTCTGAAATGTTAAGTAGATATTACAAACTTCAGGAAATTATATTTCAAATTCCCAAAATGTCCTGCTGGTGCTCTGACAACTAAAACAATGCTTTAGAGGGTTTTTTGTTTGTTTGTTTGTTTTTAATTCATAAAAAAGCAACAACTGGAAGATATAAAATAAGTAAAATCCAAAACTCTGAAGTTTATTTAAAATTCTTTTGAATCCCTAAGGTGGCTGTAAACAGTTTTCACACGTTCATAGCTTAAGGGAATGTGACTAGCACAGTCTGTATGGATTTCTGCCCAGAAGGCCTCGCCAAGGCTACACAGTGGTCTCGTGTTTCCACAGTCCAGTCCTCACATTGCCAGTGCTATCCGTACCCAGCACGGGTCCCTCCTGCCCGTTGCTTTTGATTGGTCCATTCTGAACGGCCAGGTTGAGGCCGTAAGATTTCTGCTGACTCTCAAGTTCAACTACAGTTGGCTTCCTCAACGCATCTTTTTTACTACTAGTTGAAACTGGCTTTTCCAAGTTTCTGCTGCTTTTGGGAAGCGTGCTACAAGCGTCGCTGCTATCTGGTTGGGGTGGGTTGTACTGTCTCTCTCTATACGCTAAGTAAGCCCTTCGACTCCTCGAATGGCCTTCGTTACCGGCCGGTCGACTTTTTGGTAAGCCATTCTGCACACTGCCTTCCACGCTTGTGGGGACATCGTATGCATATTCTCTGAGGACCGTGAGTCGGCTTGCCCGGTGTCCTTTACTTCTATTTTTATGATGGCGGCTTGGGTGCACGTTTGTTCGAAACTGAACTTCTAAAGGCGCCACGTGCATTTTAATATCATTGTCCACCGAATGTTCTGTCAGGCTATTATCGAGCTGAGGTGTGGCGTTCAAAGGCAGGGAATTGGTATGGCACTGAGCTGCAGCAGCCTGCAAGTTTGTTAATTTGCATCCCTGGGAGGAGTTTTTGAAGCTGGACGCGCTCTTGTTCGTGCACGAAGATTCCGCGCTGCTGTTGGTGCACTTCGGGGCCTCGCCGTTGGTCCCGCTGGAGCTGGGGGGCTGCACGTTCACTTGCACCGAGTACGCGCTCCGGCCTGGGCAGCAGGTCATGATCCACGCGAGCCTGACGTCCTCCCGGCGGACGCAGTGGTGCACGACGACGAACGCGCTGAGGCTTAAACACGCCGCTGCGAAGAAGAAGCTGAAGACCAAGTCCAAAGGGTAACACAAGGACACGGCCAGGGCCCCAAACACCCACAGCGTGACATACAAGAGCAAGGCGAGGCCGGCCCCCAAAAGCTGGGCACGGAACGTGTGCTCGTTTTCCAACGCCGATGTGGAAATCAGAGACAAAGACATCGAATCCTGATGACCGACTTCGCCGTGTTCGTGGGCTGCCAACCTCTGCTGCTCCTCCGTGGGCTCCTTCAGCTCATATTTGCGCTCAGGATGTCTCTTCAGCTGAATAAATATGCTCAGAAAGTACATGCAATTTACGAAAGTGATGAAGCTGGCAGGCCCGTAGAAAGCTCCCAAAGAGGGTTCCCACGCCATCCAGCAACTAGGGAAGAAAATGGTGAACCGGCTCAGATGCTACGCATGGCAACAAACTGTTTATGAAACTGCGATAAACATTAGCGCCTGGGAAACCGTTCAAAGAGAAGCAACTGAGTCAGGGACACAGAGAACACAAACCACTCACTAGGGCGCCCCGGGCCGACTGCCGTAATTCTTGATGTTTGCTGCCGCGGTGATGCCGCAGACTATGACGGGTATACCGCCCCCGATCAGGTAAAACCTAGGAGGAGGAACGACAGGAAAAACAGCTCAGCGTCCTCTCTTAAGGTGTGTGCATCGCAGTATCTGTGCTGTAAAAGTCACTCCTTAAAGATGTGTTATTCCCATTCTAGTAAGTTGAAAGTTCAGTTTTCTGGAGAATGCTTTGATAGCAATAGCGTCTTTTACAATTTTTAATTACTGTTTACATTTCTTGCTTTTCAAAGCACAAGGTTTACCAGTTTCCGAGTTGAAGAAAACTGATCAGCTTCTGCCACCCTGTGGCCAGGCAAAGTAGCACGCAGCTACAGCGGGCAGGTTTCGGTTTATTCTTTTTTTTAGGAGGAACTGGTTTCTTTTAGATTGAGCTAGTGAACTGCAAAGTTAGTCCATTCCAGAATGGACTTTTAGATATCACTCTGCCATAGTTGAGACAAAATCTGTATCAACATATTATTTATTCAAGTCTGGCTAAGCCTGCATGTCCCAGGACATTCTACTGCCGTGGGTGCTCATCCTCAGTCAACTGAGGTTAGTCCGGGAAAGGACCTGGATCTCGGCAGCTTCGCACAGTGCATAGGCCCCTCCCGGCCCCTTTCCCATGGACTTGCTGGCGACAGCAAGACAAATGACGGTGTTATAAGAACTCAGGGAGACACAGTGGTGGCTGGTCCTACAAACACATATTTTTTTTGACCTCCAGGACTTCCAGTTACCAACTAGCCCTTATTATGTAGCTTTAAATCTTGTCTACTGCCTCTTACTTTCAGCCTATGTGTACGAGTTTTCCCCTCTTCTAGAACTTTCCTTGACCTACCACCTTTTTTCTCTCCCCCTTCAGTGACAAACTCCTGGAAACAACACCATCATCTGCTTCACCTTTATCACTGTTGTGTGAGGCTGCTTTTAACTATTACGCTACGGAACCTGTTCTCTCGGGGACCAGGATCATTCCCACTTTATAGATAAAAGAGGCACAGAAAAGGTACAGAACTTAAGGAAGGACCATCAGCTATAAGGTGCATGGCCAGTATTCAAGTCCAGGCAGTCCAGTTTGCAAGTCCATTCCTTCACTTTCTAAAATTCACTCAGCAATTTTTTTGTTATAACTATGCTTCAGATACTGTGAAATTTATATTTAATAAACATTTAACATAATACAGTAAAGATATCAGATACCTGAGCATTGGTCTTGGTGGAGGTGGCAGTTCATCAGGATCCTGGCATCTTTTAGCTTTTTTAGTGACTTGTTTATAGATATTTCGAGCTGTCACTCCCACCCATAGCACTGTAGCAAGGGTGGAATAATGAAGAATTATACCAACCTAGAAAGAAGATTGAAGAATAGATAAACTAAAAGGAAAAAAGAAAAAAAAACCCCTTTCAATCAAAGTGTAGTAGCTGCTAGTAAGGTTTATCAAATCTGATTCAAAAACAGTCTGAAGGTATTTTTTAATGATCGACATTGCCTGCTAATGAAACAGAGAAGGCACCGTAACAGACGTATGATAAAGGATCACATCTTCTAATAGATAAACAGCTAGATCTAGAGTCCCACAAACTATAACTCATACCCAGGATGACTTTTCATACACCACGAATTAGTTCCTGGACAACAATACACTAAAGGCACGTTTCTCATAGATGCAACATTATAAATCAGTGTTCAATTTCTAAAGCCCATTTTGAGGAATGTAGAGGGCAAAAAGTCACATTACACAGAATAGGCTTCAGAGTAAAAGAGCTGAGTTCTAACTCGGAGCCTGTATATACAGTCATGGTAAGAGAGCGATGTAACATATTGGTGGTTAAGAAGGTAAGTTCTGGAGTCAAAAATTTCTGGGTGACTTTAAAACCAGGATCCACCCCTTTCCTGCTGGGACTCCTTAGTAAATCACATAACATCTCAAGCATTATTTTCCTCACTTGTAAACCGAGACTAACATAAAAGTACTGTGAGGTTTCAAATAAGGTAGTTGATATAAAGCATTTAGCACAGTGTCTGGTACATTATAAGCAATTAATTTTTTAAAATCTATATTTTAATTATTAATTATTAGGTGTGTGGTTTTAAGAAAATTATTAATTATTAGGTGTGTGGTTTTAAGAAAACGTTACCTCTTTGAAAGTAACTTTCCTTTTTAATTAGTTATTTTTAAAACTATTACTAAAAATAAAATTTAAAAAAATACATAAAAATAAATACTGGTTTTCACAAGGAACAGAACAGCGGTGCCAGAGGTGTGGGCAAAGGAGAGTGAAAGGTGGGAGAACTGGATGAAGGGCATCGAAAGGTACAAACTTCCGGTTATAAGATGAATAAGTCATGGGGATGGAATGTCCAACATAAGACTGTAGTTAACAATACTGTAATTTTTATCTGAAAGTTGCTGAGAGAGATTTTAAACGTTCTCATCGCAAGAAAAAATGTAACTGTATGGTGATGGATGTTAAAAAAAAAAACTTATTGTGGTCATTTTGCAATATATACACGTATCAAATCATTCTGCTGTACACCTGAAGCTAATCAAAATTTCTATTTCAATCACATCTCAATAAAACAACATTAAAAGAAAAGTAAATTTACTCATTTGAACAGTAGAAGGGATTATAGAAACCATCTGTAGGGTTTTTGTAGGGATTGAAAGGGCATAATATCTGAAACATAATTGCACAATAAAAGAGTGAATAAGTATAATATATGTAAATAATTATACTAACTGAATTTCTTCCCAGAGAGTGATGGAGTAGGAGCATGTTTATCATACAAACTGTGATCTAAGCAACCCTGGTTAAAAATACAATTCTAGATGCAGATATACATGGGACTAATGGAGGGTTAAAATCTATTTTAAGAAAAATAAGTGCATGTGTCATTGGAGTATCAAGGACATAATTAATTTCTCATCTGACTAATTACTTACTATCTTTTTGAACATCTTACATAATTATTATAGGTAAAATTCTATTACTAAAAAGTCCAAGGGAAAATTTTTCATTCTAAGAGAATGGCTCTCCAATCTCAAAATCAACTTGATTGACATTATCAAACCTAGGTTAATAATAGAAGCATTTAGACCACTGCCCAAAGTTCATTTTAATGAGAACCAATCTGCAGCTAAGTCCTGGTGACACGAAAGCTCAAGCATGTGCAGGGCAAAAAACTAGGGTAGTCACTGTCCTTGCACTGACTCTGAAAAGTGCTGAGAGAGTGGATCCAGCTTGGTCAAATGAGAAAAGTCAGAGTTATATTTTTCTTAAGGAGAAAAGTGGCTCCTTGGTTGCCATTAGTTTCACTGACTGCACTGTAAAAGCAAGATATACAGATAGAAGTGGAACTAAAAGCATAAAATAATCCTTTGAGCTATCTAGAGTCACACCAAATACTGCAAATATAAATAGTATAAGTAAATTTGGTATACAGAAACCAAAACATTCAAAACAAATCACTAACACTGACTCAAAATAGCAGGCTCTAGTATTGCTGGAATTTTCTCTGATGCATAGGTCAAAAGAATGAGACAGGGCTATAAATTAATTTAAAAACAAAAATATTTTCAACATAAGAGGAGCAATTATACATTTTTTTATTAATGCGTAATTGACACAAATAGCCTATTGGTCGTAGGTATACATCATAGTGACTTGGTATTTATATATGGTACAAAATGATCCCCACAATAAGTCTAGTTACCTCTATCGCCAAAGTTATTATTGACTATATTCCTTATGCTGTACATTACATACTCATGAATAATTTTACAATTGAAAATCTATACCTCTTAATCTAGTTACCTATTTTGACTGCCCCCTCCCCCCGCCCGCTCCACACACACACACACACACACACACTCTCACACACACACACACACACGCACACACACACACACAGCTCTCTGGTAACCACTAGTTTGTTTTCTAAAAATTCCTAAAATTTTCATGGAACCACAAAAGACCCTGGATAGCCAAAGCAATCTTGAGAAAGAAGAACAAAACTGGAGGTATCACGTTCCCTGACTTCCAACTATACTACAATGCTATAGTAATCAAAACAGTACAGTACTGGAATGAAAACAGACACATAGATAAATGGAATAGAGAACTCAGAAATGAACCCACGTATATATGGTTAATTAATCTACGACAAAGGAAACAAGAACATAACAATGAGGAAAAGACAGTCTCTTCAACAAACGGTGTTAGGAAAACTAGACAGCAACATGCAAAAGAATGAAACTGGACCACTATCTTAAACCACATACAAAAATAAATTCAAAATGATTTAAAGTCTTGAACGTAAGACTTGAAACCATAAAACTCCTAAAAGAAAACGTGGGCTGGAAGCAATCTGACATGGGCCTTAGCAATATTTTTTTTGGACCAGTCTCTTCAGGCAAGAGCAGCCAGAACAAAAATAAGTAAGACTGTATCAAACTAAAAAGCTTTTGCACAAGGAAACCATCAACAAAATGAAAGACAACTTACTGAATGGGAGAGAATATCTGCAAATTATACATCCAATAAGAGGTTAGTATCCAAAGTATCTAGAGAAGTTAACCTCCTTTAATATCAAAAATACAAATAACCAATTGAAAAATGGGCAGAAGACTTGAATAGACATTTCTCCAAAGAAGACATACAGATGGCTATCAGGCACATGAAAAGATGTTCAATATCATCAATCATAAGGTAGATGCAAATCAAAATCACAATGTGCTATCACCTCACATGGCTATCAAAAAGTCAAGAACAAGCACCAGCAAGAATGTGGAGAAAAGGGAACCCTCATATACTGTTAGTGGGACTGGCAAATGGTACAGCCCTTATGGAAAACAGTATGGCGGTTGCTCAAAAGATTAAAAGCATATGATCCAACAATTCCACTTCTGGATATTTATACAAATAAAATGAAAACACTAATTTGAAGAGATGTATGCACCTCTGTGTTCACTGCAGCATTATTTACAATAGCCAAGATACGGAAGCAACCGAAGTGTCCATCAGTAGATGAATGGATAAAGAGGTATGTGTGTGTGTGTGTGTGTGTATATTTGCATACATATTTATACATTAGAATATTTGTGTATTCCAACAATATTAGAATATATACAATTGAATACATATATACAATGCAGTATTACTCAGCCATAAAAACTAATGAAAGCTGGCCATTTCCAACAACGTGAATGGACCTAGAAGGTATGCTAAGTTCAATAATTCAGACAAAGACAAATACTGTATGATTTCACTTATATATGGAATGTACAAAACAAGAGAGAAACAGACTCATGGATACAGAAGAATTTTCTTGGTTTGATTCAAGGAGGAAAACGCAACCTTTAAATTTTGAAGTGTTTTCTATGACATTTCAAAATTTCTAGTAGAGAAGGTATTCTTATCTTTTGGAATAAGGTACTTCCCATTGTATTCCCCATCAGATAGTTGGGCTATACTTGAAATACAACCTGTCACAATTTATTTGATAATAAATCAGAAATACATGTGAAAAGTGTAGTAATTGTTTGGAAATAAGTGATCTGAATCATATAGCACGTCTATGATTCATTAAATGCAACAGATTATTAGTTAAGAAAGTTCCCTTACCTCAGGACATCAATTTTCAAAGCTGCAAAATGGATATAAATTAATTATCCTAAAGAAAGGTACTTTATATATATGCTATCTAGCCATAAACTCTCACTTACTGGAGACAAGACATTATAACAATTATATTTTTAACCTCTAATAAACCTAAGATAGTGAAGCATGCATAGCAAGTGTGCAAAGAAAAAAGATCTTTAATGCTCATATAATCATATATGAATATATAACAAAATTAAAATACTATTGAATGCCTTCTAGCGTCACCATTCGGTTAGTGTGAATAACCTTGAGTTACAGACAAGGAGACTGAGGCTGAAAGAACTTAAATCCTCCTCCAGAGATCACATGGTCACCTGCAGGGCTGCAACTCAAACTCAAGTCTGCTGGTTTCCAACGCCCGTGCCCCTTCCGTTATGCCATACTGTTCCTCACTAAATAGTAAAACACAGTGATGGGGAGTGAGAGACACTCAAGGGTCAAAGAGACATTTGAATCATGCCCCTGTCACCCAACAGCCCCAGCGATTTGGGCAAGTTGTTTCTATTCTCTTAGATTCTATATCTGTACTTACATATGAGTAAGAAGTACATTCTAGGGTCAATGTGAAAGATAACACATTTGCAGTAGTTGGCAATTACAACGTTCGTAATATTCCCTGATTAATTTTTTCCCAGTGCACCTCGGATCCCATTTCAGCAGTCTCCTAGATAACAGATTTAAG